ATACAACAGATCTGAAAGGAGAAATACATAGCAATACAATACTACAAGGGGATTTCAATGCCCCAGTTTTAATGAATACATCATTCAGACAGAAAATTTATAAGAAAACAGTGGTGGTGACATGGTTTGGCTGTGTCCCCACCGAAATCTCATCTTGAATTGTAGTTCTCATAATCCCCACATGTTGTGGGAGGGAACCGACAGGAGGTAATCGAATCATGGAAATTGTTTTCTCCATGCTATTCTCATGATACTAAGTAAGTTCTCATGAGATCTGATGGTTTTATAAAGGGTTTCACCCTTCACACAGCTCTCATTCTTCTCTTTCCTGCTGCCATGTGAAGACAGACTTGTTTGTTTCCCCTTCTGCCATGACTGTAAGTCTCATGAGGCCTTCCAACCCTGCAGAACTCTGAGTCAATTAAACCTCTTACCTTTATAATTTGCCCAGTCTCAGGCAGTTCTTAATAGCAGCCTGAGAACGGACTAATACAGGTGGTATGAAACTAGATGTGAATGACAGAAGAAAAACTGTAAAATTCACAAAAATGATATACTTCTGAATAACTATAAGGTTAAAGAAGAAATAAAAAAGGAAATCAAAAATATCTTGGGACAAACAAAAATGCAAACCCAACATACCAAAACTTAAGATATAAAGAAAAAGCAGTTAAGTTTATAGTGATAAATGCCTACATTAAGAAAAAAGAAAAATCTCAAATAAACAAGCTAACTTTACATGTAAGGAGCTAGAGAAAGGCAGACAAATGAAGTACAAAATTAGCAGAAAGAAGGAAAACAAAGACCAGAGAATGAATAAATAAAACAGAAAGTAGAAAAACAATAGATAAGATCACTGAAACTGAGTTGATATTTTGAAAAGATAAAAATTTTAAAATCTTTAGACTAAAGAAAAAAGAAAAAAGTCAAACATTGTAAATGAAAAGGAGATATTACAACTGGTGCTACAGAAATACAAAGGACCATAAGAGACTATTATGAACAATTATATGTCAACAAATTGGATAAACTAGAAGAAATGAACAAATTTCTATAAACATACAACCTTCTAATACTAAATCATGAAGAATTAGAAAATCTGAATGTATCAATAATGAATAAGGAGATTAAAGTATGAATAAAAAACCTGAACAAAGCTAAGCATAGGACCTAATAGCTTCACTGCTGAATTCTATCAAACATTTAAAGAGGAATTAATATCAATCCTTATGAAACTCTTCTCAAAAAGCAAAGAGGAGAAAATACTTCCAAACTCATTTTACAAGCATAGCATTAACCTAATATCAAAGCCAGATTTGGACACTACAAGAAAAGAAAATTACAGGCCAATATCCCTGATAAACATATGTATAAAAATTCTCAACAAAATACTAGCAATTGAAACAATACCACATTAAAAGTATTGTGTACCATGATCAAGTGTGATTTATCCCTGGGACGCAAAAATGGTTCAACACATAGAAATCAATAAATGATATGCCACATTAACAGAATGAAGAATAAATATGATACAATCATCTCCATAGATGAAGAAGAAGCATTTTACATTTTCAACATACTTTCATGATAAAAACTATCAAGATATTAGATATAGAAGGAATATATCTGAATATAATAAAGGTCACATATGACAAGCTCTCAGCTAACATCATACTCAATGATGAAAAGGTGAAAGCTTTTCTTCTCAGATAAGGAGCAAGTGAAGGATGTCCATCTCATCACTTCTGCTCAACATAGTACTAGAAGTCCTAGCCAGAAAAATTAGGAAAAAAAAAAAAAAAGACATTCAAATAATAAAAGTGGAAGGTAGGCCGGGTGTGGTGGCTTATGCTGGTAATTCCAGCACTTTGGGTGGCCAACTTGGGTGGATCACTTGAGGTTAGGAGTTCGTGACCAGCTTGGCCAACATGGTGAAACCCTATTTCTACTAAAAATACAAAAATTAGCTGGGCGTGGTGGCATGCCTGTAATACCAGCTACTTGGGAGGCTGAGGCAGAAGAATCGCTTGAACCTGGGAGGCTGAGGTTGCAGTGAATTGAGATGGCACCACTGCACTCCAGCCTGGGCAACAAAGAAAGAACTTGTCTCAAAAAAAAAAAAAAAAAAAACCTAGAAGGTAACTTGTCTGTTTGCAGATGGCATAATATTATATATAGAAAATCCTAAAGACTCAACCAAAAAAAATGCTGTTAGAACTAGTAAATTCAGTGATGTTTCCAGATGAAAAAAAAATCAACGTACAAAAATCAGTCTTATTTCTGTACACTAACAACAAACCATCTGAAAAAAAATAAGAAAACAATGTCATTTACAATAGCATCAAAAAATATCTAAGAATAAATTAACCAAGGAGATGAAAGATTGGTACACTGAAAACTATAAAACACTGACAAAAGATGAAAGAAGACACAAATCAGTGAAAAAATACTCCTTGTTCATGGATTGAAAGAATTATTATTAAAATGTTCATGATACTTAAAGCAATCTCTAGATTCAATGCAATCCCCATCAAAATTACAGTAGCATTTTTCACAGAAATAGAAAAAAAATTCTAAAATTTGCATGGTACCACCAAAGACCCTGAATAACAAAAGAAATCTTGGGCAAGAAGATGAGAGCTGAAAGCACCATACTTTCTGATTTCGATTTCTATTACAAAACTATAAAACTTAAAATAGCATGGTATTGACATATAAACAGATGCATAAACCAGTGGAACAGAATCGAGAGCCCAGAAATAAGCCCATGGATATCTTGGCAAAGAGGCCATGAATACAAAATGGGAAATGGATAGTTCTTATTAAATGGTGGTGGGAAAACTGAATAGCCACATACAAAAGAATGAAATTGGACCCTTATCTTACACCAGACACAAAAAACAACTATGAATGGATTAAATATGTAAATGTAAGACATAAAACCATAAAACTCATAAAAGAAGAAAGCACGGAGAAAAAGACCTTGATATTGTTCTTGGCAATGATTTTTTGGACATGCCCCCAAAAGCTCAGGTAACAGAAGCAAAAATAAACAAGTAGGTCATACAACTCAAAAGTGGAAAAACAAATACCTGATTTAAAAATGGGCAAAGGATCTGAATAGACATTTTTCCAAAGAAAATGCCAACAGGTAAATGAAAAGTTTCACATAACCATTCAACAGGGAAATGCAAATCAAAACCACAGGGAGATATCACTTCATACCTGCTAAGATGGCTTTATCAGAAAAACAAAAGACAAGTGTTGGTGAGATTGTAGAGAAATAAGAACCCTTGTACACTGTTGGTGGGAATGTAAAATGGTGCAGACAACATGCAAAACAGTATAAAAGTATTCCAAAATATGAAAAATAGAACTACCATGTAACAATCTCACTTCTGCATATACATCTAAAGGAAGTGAAATAAGTATGTTGAGGTATTTGCACTCCCATGTTCATACAGCATTATTTACAATATAATTGTTTGTGTATATATATACAGACACACACAATGGATTATTATTCAACCTTAAGAAAGAAGCTGGAGAAATGGCTGAGTGTAGTGGCTCATGCCTGTCATTCTAGTTGTGATTAGTTTGGAGGCCAAGGCAGGAGGATTGCTTGAGACAAGCCTTGGCAACATAGCGCAACCCCTGTATCTACCAAAAATTAAAAAATTAGCCAGGCATGGTGGCATGTACCTGTCGTTCCAGCTACCTGTAGTCCCAGCTACTTGGGAGACTGAGGTGAGAGAATCGCTTGAGCCCAGGAGTGAGGCTGTGGTAAGTTATGATTATGCTGCTGTACTCTAGCCCGAGTGACAGCAAGACCCTGTCTCAAGAAAAAAGGAAAGAGCCTGGAAGACATTATACTATGTGAGATAAAACAGACACTGAAAGTCAAACTTTGCATGATCTCACATATGTTGAAATTTGAAAAGTTGAACTCACAGAAACGGAGTAGAATGGTGGTTGCTTGGGTTGGGGGTATGGGTAAGGGGGTCATGTTGGTCAAAGGGTGCAAACTGTCAGTTACAAGTTGAATAAGTTCTGGAGGTCTAATGTATAACATGGTGACTAGGATTCATATTAAGTTAAAATATACTTAAAATTTTCTAAGGGAGGAAATCTCAAGTATTCTTACCACACACACACAAATAACTGTTAGGTGATTGATATGTTAATTAGCTTTATTGTGGTAAACATTTCACAATGTATACACATGTCAAAACATCACATTGTACCCCTTAAATATGTAGGATTTTTATTCAATAGTGATAGCCCAGTAAAGCTCGAATTAACACAAAACAGTGTTGCACCAGTTGAAGAGTTTACACTTCTCTATACAAGCTTATACAAAGCTTTAACACAAGACTGGAAGGGTGATGTCAGCCTAGATGCAAACTAATTGACTCTCAGAAAAAAGAAAAAAAATATGACACTGTTTTTAGGAAGAAAACAAAATCCAGATACTCACCCAGGTAACAGTTACAATACTGAACATCCGATCTAAAATTACAAGGCATGTAAAGAGATAGAGTCAAGATCTAAAAATGGGGTAAAGTTTGTGAATACAAAGCTTAAAAAATGACAGATGGCTGGGCATGGTGGCTCACACCTGTAATCCCAGCACTTTGGGAGGCCAAGTCAGGTGGATCACTTGAGGCCAGGAGTTCGAGACCAGCCCGGCCAACATGGCAAAACCCCATCTCTACTAAAAATATAAAAATTAGCTGGGCATGGTGGTACACACCTGTAGTCCCAGCTACTCAAGAGGCTGAGGCACAAGAATTGCCTGAATCTGGGAGGTGGAGGTCACGATTAGCAGATATTGTGCCACTGCACTCCAGCCTGGCCAGCAGAGCAAGACTCTGTTTCAAAACAAACAAAAAAATAAAGAATTGAAGAAATGACTAATATTATAGAATAGAAAGGATTTAAAAAATGTTATTTTAAATATGTTCAATGGCGTAAAAGAAAAATGAACATAAGAGCTTGGCGTGCGACTGTGCGCTCAATCCAGCACCATGGGGAAGCGGGACAATCAGGTGGCCTATATGAACCCAATAGCAATGGCGAGATCAAGGGGTCCAGTCCAGTCTTCAGGGCCAACAATACAAGATTATCTGAATCGACCAAGGCCTACCTGGGAAGAAGTAAAAGAGCAACTAGAAAAGAAAAAGAAAGGCTCCAAGGCTTTGGCTGAATTTGAAGAAAAAATGAATGAGAACTGGAAGAAAGAACTGGAAAAACACAGGGAGAAATTATTAAGTGGAAGTGAGAGCTCATCCAAAAAAAGACAGAGAAAGAAAAAAGAAAAGAAGAAATCTGGTAGGTATTCATCTTCTTCTTCATCAAGCTCTGATTCTTCCAGCAGTTCTTCTGATTCCGAAGATGAGGATAAGAAACAAGGAAAACGGAGAAAGAAAAAGAAGAACCGTTCACATAAATCTTCTGAAAGCTCCATGTCAGAAACTGAATCAGACAGTAAGGATAGTTTAAAAAAGAAAAAGAAGTCAAAAGATGGAACTGAGAAAGAAAAGGATATTAAAGGACTCAGTAAAAAGAGAAAGATGTATTCTGAAGATAAACCTTTATCATCTGAGTCCTTGTCAGAATCAGAGTATATTGAGGAGGTGCGAGCAAAAAAGAAGAAAAGCAGTGAAGAACGAGAAAAAGCAACAGAAAAAACGAAAAAGAAAAAGAAGCATAAGAAACACAGTAAGCTTGGACTCAGGAAGGGGAACATCACACACAGGGGCCTATCATGGGGAGGGGGGAGGGGGGAGGGATTGCATTGGGAGTTATACCTGATGTAAATGACGAGTTGATGGGTGCAGCACACCAACATGGCACAAGTATACATATGTAACAAACCTGCACGTTATGCACATGTACCCTACAACTTAAAGTATAATAATAATAAATAAATTAAAAAAAAAAAAAGAAACACAGTAAGAAGAAGAAAAAGAAGGCTGCTAGTTCAAGTCCTGACTCACCATAACATTAAGAAAAATCAGGATTCCCTTCTAAAGAAAGTGCAATGTCTGAGGAAATTTCAACTGTGAAAACTACAACATATTTACTAAAATGCATGAATTTTCTTGTTTTTAGAATTATTCCTGGACTATTCAGTAGCCACTCAGATGCCACTGTGTGAAAGGGCCATAAATGTTGCCTGCTGCTTGAACATCTTTTTTTTTTTTCTTCCAGTGCTTGATAACTCTGGGAGATAAGACACTGCAGTCATACTAGTGGTTAAGATATTTGGGAATAAAATTAATACTTTTGACTAGAAGTGTCTAAGGATAAACCAACAGAAATTGAATCTGGATGTATCTTTAAGATGTAATCAGAAATGACCAGATGACTCTAGTTAAAATTTTTGGAGGAGGGATTACATTAATGTAATTAATTAATTACATTTTAAAACCCTTACTCTGTAGATAAGTGTATTTTAATTTTTTCCCCCTTGTATACTTTTATTTACCTGGGGAAGGAGCTTTTAGGGTTGGGGGGGGTGGTTTGCTATCTCTTTAGCTAGCAGAATAGTGTGCCTTTGATCCTCACACATCCTATATTCTGGACACAGTAGCCATGCTTCACAGGGAGGTCAGAGCTGGCTACCAGCAGTCTTGCCCTTTACTGAGCTTAGTGTCATCCTTGGATGCTGTCATATGCTGCTTTCAGTGAACCAGAGAAACAGCCATTTGCAGCATGAGAAAGCCCCAAAAGCTCTGAGATTTACCTCCACTTCAGTAATAATGAAAATTTTTTAGCATTAGAATGTGTTATGTCATTTGAATTAAGTTTGATTACACTTTGGCTTGGGAGAGGAATTATTTTAAATAGACACTGGTACTTTTTGAACTTGATAGCTAAAGATTCTAAAATGCATGTTTTATACTAAGTTTTAACCAGTCAGGAAAATTTTATGTAACCAGTGATAGTTTATTTTTTGTATGAATTTTGTTTAGGCTGCAATGTTTAGCTTTTGTTAACTCCTCACTCTTGCTGTTCATTACTATGTTTAATGGCCTACTTGCCAAGATATTTAGCATGTAAAAAGCAGGATTTTGATTTAAAAAAAAAAAAAGGCTTCATATTGAAGCTGAGACTTACAATAACAAGTTGAGTGGCAAGCCTGGTATGCTGTGTCTTATTGCCAGAATCTTAGTAAATGTAATGTTTTAAAAGTTTGTTGTCTTTGTATATTAATAGCAAATTATGACAAGTTAAGTTTAAATAAGAGTTACATTATTGCTCTCCCTGTGTCATATTTTACTAAGATTTTGTGCCTCATATCTACTGCTGACTTGTTTACTAGGAATGTTAAAAGGAACTGATAATTCATTTTCATTTTACATTTTTATATAATCAGGTAACATGAAATACAACTTGATGTACAATTTTGCCTGTTACAAAGGATGTGCTAATTATAGTGGTATATGCACAGAACATGTTGGCATGACAACAGGCTGAATAAATAGCTATTTTACTTAAAAAAATGCTATTGTGAATAGTGCTGCAATAAACATACGTGTGCATGTGTCTTTATAGCAGCATAATAAAATGTGGCACATATACACCATGGAATACTATGCAGCCATCAAAAAGGATGAGTTTGCGTCCTTTGTAGGGACATGGATGCAGCTGGAAACCATCATTCTTAGCAAACTATCACAAGAACAGAAAACCAAACACCGCATGTTCTCACTCATAGGTGGGAACTGAACAATGAGATCACTTGGACTCAGGAAGGGGAACATCACACACTGGGGCCTATCATGGGGAGGGGGGAGGGGGGAGGGATTTCATTGGGAGTTATACCTGATGTAAATGATGAGTTGATGGGTGCAGCACACCAACATGGCACAAGTATACATATGTAACAAACCTGCACGTTATGCACATGTACCCTACAACTTAAAGTATAATAATAATAAATAAAAAAAAAATGAACATAAGAAAGAGAAAAACGAAAAGTATAAAAAAGAATGAAATGACATTTCTGGAGTTGAAAAATATAACACCAAATTGAAAAACTAACCAGATGCACTTAACAAGGGACTAGACACCACAGAAGAAAAGATCAGAAAACTGAAAGCAGAACAGAAGAAATTATTAAAACTAAAGCACAGAGATATGAAAGACAGAATACATTTAATATAGCCTCACTGACCATGGGACAATAGCAAGTGATCTAACATAAGTATAATTGGAATCCACTATTCAGCATTGTACTGGTGGTCCTAGTCAGTCTAATAAGGCAAGACAAAGAAACAAAAGGCATACAGATTGGAAAGAAATAAGTAAAAACGTCTTTATTCACAGAGAGCAGAAAATTCCAAGAATCTACCAAAAGTTACTAGAACTACTTCATGAGTTTAGCAACTAAATAAAAGGTAACCAGATGTACAAAAATCAATTGTATTTCCATATCCTATGAAGAGATAATTGAAATACTATGAAACACTTAAGGATAAGTTTAACAAAAATTACCCAAGATTCATAAACTGAATACAACAGAATACTGCTAGAAGAAATTAAAGAATACTTAAATAAAGGAAGAAATATATGATGTATATGGATCATAAAATACAATATGTTAAAAGGTCAATTCTACTCAAACTGCTATATCAATAACAATTTCAGCAGACTTTTTTTGTTTAGAAATTAACTAGTCAATTAGAAAATTTGATTAGATTTGCAAAAGACCATAGAAAAGTCAAAAGAATATTGAGAAAGAACAATGTAGGAGGACTTACACTTCCTAATTTTAAGACTTATTATAAAACTATAGTAGTTAAAAGACTGTGGTAGGGACACAAGCATAGTAATACAGATCAGTAGAAAAGAAAACTGATTTTGGAGACAGTTTCAGATAATTTAATGGAAAAAATACTCCTTTCAACAAGTTGGGCTGGGGGCAGCCGAATAACAATATAAAAAAAAGTGAACCACGATTTTTACTTCAAACTATAGACAAAAAATAACTCAAAATTGATTAACTCTAAATTTAAAAATATAAAACTACATTATTTCTAAAAGAAAGCATAGAAGATAAAAATCTTCATAATCTTTGGGCAGGCAAGATTTATTTGATAACAAAAATCACTCACCATAGAAGAAGATAACCAACAAATTAAAACTTTATGAAAATTAAATCCTCCTCTTTAAAATACACTATTTAGAAAATGAGGAGGGAAGCTGCAGACTGATAAAGAATATTTACAAACTATATTGAGCTATCTAACAAAGAACATTTTGAAAATATGTAAATTAAATTTTACATCTCATTAATTAGAGAAATAAGCCAATAAAAAGTTGGCAAAAAATTGAACAAATATTTCACAGAAGAGATATTCAAATGGCCAATAGGCATAAGAAGAAATGTTCTACATCATTATGCATCAAATAAGGCAAATAAAGTTATGATGAGATACCACTATACACTACACTATTTAGTTTAGCTAAAATTTAAAAAGAATGGCAATACCATGTGTAGGTAGAGATGTAAAGTTACTTGAACTTTCAGCCTGCCAGTGGGAGTGTTAAATGGGACAACTATTTTGAGAAACAACCCGGAAGTTTCTTCTATAGTTAAACATACACTTACCGTATTACCCAGAAATTTCATTCCAAGAGAAAAGCAAACATAGGTCCACACAAAGGTTTGTACACAAATGCTCACAGCAGCTTCATTTATAATAACCACAAACTGGGAACAACACACATATGCATCAAGAGGCTAACAGATCAACAGATTGTGACGTATTCATATAACAGATATTAATCATCAATATTAATACATCCAACATGACTTAATCACAAACACAGCATACTGAGGCAGGTACAACATCATTGTGTGATTCTACCTATTAAAAATTTAATCCTTACATATAGAAAATAGTTTAGTGGTTGTCTGGATTGGAATTTGAGAAGGGGATTGGTTGCAAAGAAACATGAGGGAAAAATTAAGGATAATGAAAATATTTTTTGTTTTTATTGCACTGAAATAACCAAACACATATCTCAAACCCCATTAAACTGTATGAATAAATTTGTATCATTGTATTGTATACAAATTTTACCTCAATAAAACTGATAACCAATTATGCAGAGAGAGGTTGTCTATAAACAGCACAAAATGCAATAGACGATCTGGTAGCTTCAGATTCTTAAAAATTCAATCAGTGAGATAATTTGCATCAGAAACAAAACAGATATTTATTAGCCTGGCTGTGACTTTGTTTTCTCATGGTAAAATCAGAATCATACAAGTATCTCTTACCTAGGATGACACTCAAGATCAAATTAATAAATATATGTAAAGCATGTAGAATAAATCCTGGCAGATATTAAGAATTCAGTAAAGGCTGGCTATAGTTATCATTGTTACCACCAAGAGTTGAAGGCTATATCAAACCTGGGGAGGGCTACAATGATAAGCAATGTTGCCCTCTGGGGAGGCTTAGGTTTTTGTGAGAAACAAGGCCAGTCAATTCTCCTCAATCTACAAAAGGGTGTTGTATTAGTTGGTTCTCATGCTGCTCATAAAGACATACCCAAGACTCAGTAATTTAGAAAGGAAAGAAGTTTTATGGACTCACAGTTCCATATGGTTACGGAGGCCTCATAATTATGGTGGAAGATGAAGGAAGAGCAAAGGGATGTCTTACATGGCAGCAGGCAAGAGGATATGTGCAGGAGAACTCCC